TTCTTCTGGAGACTAAACAATCCCAGTTCCCTCAGCCTCTCCTCATAAGTCATGTGCTCCAGCCCTCTAATCGTTTTTGTTGCCCTCCACTGGACTCTTTCCAATTTTTCCACATCCTTCTTGTAGTGTGGGGCCCACAACTGGACACAGTACTCCAGATGAGGCCTCACCAATGCCGAATAGAGGGGAACGATCACATTCCTCGATCTGCTGGCAATGCACTTCCTGTACTAAACTCTGCAAATCTTTACCCTTTCTACCTACCTGGTTTCTTTAGGCCCAGATTTATACTTTGGCTCCAGGCAGCTGTGTCATGCAGAAGCTTCTGGAGACTCTCCTCATCCAACTGCAGCAAGATGTTCTCTGGCTTGATGTCTGTATGGATAATCCGACAATTTGTATGCAGGAACTGTAGCCCTGCCAGTACCTGTATGAACCAGAGACGGTGATTAACAATCAGGAATGCAGAAACCATTCCTAGGAGCAGCTTTAGATGATGTCACAAGAGAAAAAGAGTCCAAAATAATAGACTTGGTGTTTCACACATATTCTGATATTTATGAAGAATGAGACACAGATGACATTGAAAATTCTGTAGGAGGCCATCCTGTCGGAGAATTTCTGCTTCCACAATCCCTATATAGGGAATCCCATGCATCTGCTTGGAGTCAGCATCTGTGACAGGGTGCTGAGTGAGAAACACTTACAATCAAGGGGAATGGATTGGGACTGGGTGAATAGCCCTGTGTCTGCCTGGTAATAGGCATTACCTGCCAGCCTCATTAGCCATGGCTATAAAGGCTGGGAGGAAGCCAGAGGAAGGGGGGAAGAGAAAGGCCAAGCACAGAGGGAGGTGGGAGTCTTCTGGTCTGTTGCTGGCAAGGCCTGCACTTGGCAAAGTTGGCTGCGAAACCTGTACATAGGTGGAAAGTGGTGGCAGGAAAACAACTGTAAATAAAGAACACTGGTGTTGCATCAAGCTGAGGTGTTCCTGACTGATTGGAGAGGGCAACAGGGGCCTAAACCAAAGGGGCCCAGTGTGCACCTTGCTACACGTGGGGCCTTGTCCAGGATCTGAAGCCAGTGCAAGATCTTGGTGGCCAGAGATGGAGGGAACCCTGCAGTGACTAGCAAAGCAACAGGAGGAGATGCAGAAGGCACTGCAAGCCTTCCAGCAATCCCACCAGCTAGAGAGGCAGGCCTTATTCACCTGGCAGGCGGAGCAACAGACAGCTCCCCAGGAATTTATAAAGGAGCAGGCCAAAGTGCAGCAGCAGCAGCTCCTACAAAGGTGGGAAGTGAGGGCACCCGCACGACGGTGTTAGGCCTATGTAAGATGGGCCCTGCTGATGACCCGGACGCCTTTCTTTGTACCTTTCAGCAGGTAGCCATGGGTGCTGGATGGGAGAGGGAAACCTGGGCCCTATAACTGTCTCCCTATCTGGCCAGCAAGGCTCAAGCCACCTATATGGCACTGAGCAACGACCAGGCCAAGGACTATGAGGTGGTGAAGGCAGCTGTCCTAGACCGCAAAGGGCTGTCAGCAGAGAAATACTGGTAGAAGTTTCAGTCTTACTTTACCTACCTTGACTGGCTAGAGGGGCATTATGGGAGCAAGTGGTGTGATACAACTAATGGTTTCATCATTGGACCTAGAAAGAATGGGGTAAAGTCTGAGCTACTTGGATTTAGCATAGTGAGAAATGGAGAACTCACACATTGCACTAGTACAATGAAAGTAGATTTTGGGGAACCAAGTAGCAAGGTGCAATGGAAGGAAGTATTACAATCCATTCGTAAGGAAGTGGCTGGGGACACTATAATTAAGGTGCAAAAGGATATAATTTGACCAGGAAAATTTAAGTAACAAGACATGGTTTTTCATGAACTGGCTCAGATTTGTGATCACTAATTATCATGCTGACCAACATCATCTCATTGTTTCTTGGTCTCTCTTGCCTCACCCACAACTGTTTGCTGCATCAACCTGTTGTCTGTAATCTTACACTTAGTCCCTGTCTCAAAAAGCTTATAATCTTTCTCTTTGTTGCAATATATACTCGTTCATTAGCCTGTTCGTTTATAAGCCGACCCCCGCAAAATGGTTAGGTAAAAACAGCAAAAACTGTATGACCCTTTCATAAGCCGACCCTATATTTCAGGGGTTGGAAAACTTTGGCTCCTGGCCCGTCAGGGTAAGCCGCTGGCGGGTTGGGATATTTTGTTTACCTGCGCCACTTCCCGCAGCTCCCATTGGCTGGGAAGGGCAAACTGCGGCCAGAGGGAGCTGAGGGGCTCCATGCCTGCAGACGCTCCAGGTAAACAAAACAACAATGTATTAGATATTCAATTCAATGATTCCATAGAGTTTAAAATCATCAAATTTTGGTGTAGACCCATTTATAAGCCGACCCCCGCTCTTTGATGCGTCACTTTTTTACCAAAAATATTCGGCTTATGAACACGTATATACGGTATATATGTTTTTACAGTACCTAGCACAAAGGAGCCTTGGCCTCTAGGTGCTACCACATTACAAATAAGTAGAAATAAAACCTGCAATGGTATTGGGGAGAGACCCAAACAAGAATATATAGAATTAGTTAAAGCGTGTAGGGAAAAGAGAAGGACAACGCTTCATCACTGCGGGAAAAAGATACCTTGTTATGGAGCACAGAGAGTCTGAAGAATCAAGAATTTAGGGACTTAACTGGTTGGGAAGAGAACATACTCTATACATGGAGAATAACTCACTAATGAACATTGATTAGGAAATGAAGATTTTAACAGACTCACTGATACTCACAAGACACTTTTGAAGTTTTAAATCCAAATTGTTTCTGAGTTAGCCAAATATAATATCAGTAGCAGCAGAATGGCTACTGAAAAGTCCTGTTTTACACTCTAAGGCACATGTTGACAGATTTTCTTAACACTTTCAAAATAAACCACTTCGTGGGCTGCACACCAAATGAGGAGAAATTTCAGCCTCAAAGATAATTTGTGGGGGGAAGAATACTTAACCCACTTCAAATGGAGGGAACAGAAGGAAAATGCCACATCAGCAGTCCCTAACTCTACGGTAATAAGAATTATTGTTTGCTTAGCACTTTACAGACAGGTATGAAAACAAAGGTTCCTGCCCCAAGCTCTTACAGTCTTAAGTAGACAAAAGATGGAGGATGGGATACAATGAGAAGCAACGTTTGAGTGAAGTTGAGCACACAGCTTGTTAGTTCCAAGATGTTCAGATTAATTTTCCCATGAGGGCAGGAGTTAATTCAGAGTAAGATGGCCTGTTAATTCCCACCTGTAGAGGGTTTCAGATGCTATCTGAGAAACAGGCTAAAGGAGGAAGAGTCCACTTCATCTACACCAAGCCTCTGGAGGAGGCTTGGGGTGCTGGACTGCACACCCAATCTGCCCACTTGTCAAGATGTTCCTCCGACATCTTGACAAGTGGATCAGCAAAGAGCTGTTGAAAAACTCAGAGTTCTGAAAAAAGAAGAACAGGAGTACTTGTGGCACCTTAGAGACTAACAAATTTATTAGAGCATAAGCTTTCGTGGACTACAGCCCACTTCTTCGGATGCATATCTTATGCATCCGAAGAAGTGGGCTGTAGCCCAGAAAGCTTATGCTCTAATAAATTTGTTAGTCTCTAAGGTGCCACAAGTACTCCTGTTCTTCTTTTTGCGGATACAGACTAACACGGCTGCTACTCTGAAACCTGTCAGAGTTCTGAGATGTGCCATGTGATTATAACAGAACTTTGAGATCTCTGTTAGCCTTTTCCATTCCCTAGCAGCTCATGGACACTGTGTAAGAAATGCTGTTTCTGGCATGTTTGTTTAAGTAAAATGTCAAGACTATGCAGTGGATGGAGAAAGATTGTGGTTCCGATCAGAGCATGAATGAAAACATCATTCAGCCATGGCACTTGCTGCAGCTCAGGCCTCTGGTCATGTTGCGTGGAAGGAAAGAGAGAGAGCTATGAAGCAAAGTGCTAGAAATTTGTAATACCATGAAGAAAGCTATATAGACAAACGTCACAGCCAAACTGGAGCCAACTCAAGACTGTTTAACTAAGTAGTCTTCCTGTGTATCTTGCTTTCAGTGCTGGCTATGACTGCACACTGAAGCCAGCTTGTCAACAGCAGATTTTTTAATTGTGGAGGGAGGGAGGAAAAAAAGAATTTTCCATGATGTTGTCAAAGCTACCGCAGCCGGATGGAGGTTCTTATGTCAACAGACAGTATGGATGACAGGCAGATTTGTTTCATGTGTCCCTGTGGGCAGCAGATTAATTTTCAAGAGTTGCTCAGTGAAGTAACACTCCATAATACTGACTATTCTGAGCTGAACCAACTTTCTAAATATGTCATTTTGCAACTTGTAACCTCAACAATATCAGTAGTGAATTTCCCAGGCACAGGTCTACAAAAGGCCACTGAAATCTGAACAAGCAGCTCTTTTAAAATTCCAGTAAAATTAGGGGCTAGGCTAGGCAACCCAAAGGTCACGTAAGGACATTGATGACTCTTTCACCGTATGCATTTTAAGATTAGGTACTGCCACACAATTCAGTTTAAAACATATACTTGTATTGCCTGTTAGCTATCAGCTTTGTAGTTATTTCATCATTTTGGTATTTTTTGTTAACTAATTTGGTAATATCTTAAAAATATATTGGATTTTTATTGACTTTTCATAGCAAAAAGTCCTGATGCGTTTGACAAATAAATAAATCTAGACAGAGCTTACTTCTGCCACTGAAGTGCAGGCACCTCTGGAGCAAGAGGAGGAAGTTGTTTCGTAGTGCACAGTAACAGCACACATCAGTTTAATACATAAAGTAAAGAAGTGCCTCAGTAGTGCCTCAGAGTCTGTTTCTGCAACCTGATGCTGCTTAGTTTAGGAGATCTGGCAGGTTGATATGGCTTTATTGGGTTTGAAGAATAGCAAATGGTCCAGATATCACAAGAGATGAGACCTAGGGACAGCTTTTGCTCTATTTGTTCTTTCTTGGATTTGTCACATTTTTATTTTTTGCTTTCTTTCATGAAGGGACAACTGGCCAGTATTTCCTTGTAATAAGTTTACCCCTTTGATCTGTTCCTCTGTAGATTTATTTTAATCACACTGGAATAAACTGCAGAAAAACCCATCCAGTATATAGCTAGCTATTCCAGTCCTCTTCACTGGAAGATAAAAACACACTAGCCTAAGAGGTGTAAGTGAGAGGGCAGATGTGTAATTGAGTAGGGAAATGATCTCCATCTCACAGGAACTGTATTTAAAGTTGGGACAAAACCACATTTGGATTTTATGCTTTAGTAAAATAATCCTGAGTGTTCTAAAAGATTCCTCCACTGCACACCCAATCTGCCCAGCTATCCTCTCTACCCCGCAGGCCTCGCCCGCCCCTCCGTGTCCTCACCCTTCCAGTGCTCTGAGCTCTCACCTGCTGTAAGGCTTTTTTCACAAAGGGCAAGGGGAGACCCTGGGTTCCATGGCTCCTCATCAGACATCGCAGAGAAGGGCCCAGCAACTCAAACACCAAGCACACATGTAGGAAAGTCAGGGATTCACTGAGAGAGAGAGAGAATGCTATCCCCATTCACTTTGATGTTAACTAGACAAGCCACAGACACCCCTCGCTCCCAGCCACCATTCTATGCCCCACTCCCCAGGCCGGCCCCTTGCTCCCACTCCCAGCCACCATCCTATGCCCCCCCACCAGAGTGGCCCCCGGCTCCCGCTCCCAGCCGCATCCTATGCCCCCCAGACTAGCCCCCGCTCTCAGCTGCCATCCTACGCCCCATTGGCCAGTCCTTCACTCCCACTCCCCGCCGCCATCCACACCCCCATCCCCCAGTCCAGCCCCTTTCTCCCACTCCCAGCTGCCATTCTACATACCCCAGGCTGGCCCCTTGCTCCCAATTCCAGGCCCGCCCCTCTCACAGGGACACATCCAGTCTTTTCAACAGCATAGCATTCTGTCTGGCTAATGGCATTGCAAACAGAGAAAGCCACTATTCTTAGCTGAAGGATATGAAAGCCATTTGCTCCAATCATTTTAAAGTCATCTAAACAATGGACAATATTCTCCCCTGCCAGGTCCTTCTTCTTCATGCTGCTCACCTGAGAGTGGTCAAAAAAACCTCTTATTTAGTGGAATACATGTATTGGATCTCGCGCTCTGCATTTTACCCTGCCATCCACCACCATAATATCTGAGCCTCTTCCATGTAAAAATCAATAGCAAGGTCCCTAGTGGATTCTATAGTAAGTCTCTCCACTTTTTGGGGCTAATAGTTCTGCTTGGGGTATTTTGTTAGTGGATGGTTCTTAATTTGGATGCTTTCATGTATGTTTTATTGGTGAAACCCACCAATGAGGGAATTGAACAAACCCAACTCCAATTACATTAGCGGAGTCCGATCCCCTATGGTGAATTCCCTCACAATTATCCAGCCATATCCCAGGTGAAGGGTAGACACAATTCCCCATAAATAGCCTAGTTATGTCTGATCAGCTCAGATATTTCCTGACAATCCCACTCTGGGGGTAATTGCCACCACTAAACCCATCACATCTGACTCCCTTCCAAGGGTATTTCCCCACATATATGGAAAGGTTGTTCTTCCACATGGCCACAGCTTATCATGCTCATCAGAATTGTCTCATTGTTTCCTTGTGCACCCCCATCCAATTGTTCTCTCTTGGCTTCTGTTTATATTGTAAGCTCGTTGGGGCAGGGGCCATCTCTTTGCTGTTTGTTTGTACAGCACCTAGCACAACAAGGATGAGATCTAGACACTACTGCAGTGCAGGTAACAAATAACAACAATGGTATCACTTTGAGAACCTGAAGATTAGAATTTTTGGCCCATCATCTGATATAACAAATTCTATTGTCCAGTGAAAAATATGTCAGCATGTTGGCATGTTTCCTTTTAGAAACTTATAGCTCCCTTAAATAATTTATTGTAATTAGGGCTGTCAAGAGATTAAAAGAATTAATCGCAATTAATCATGCAATTAAAAAGATTAATCGTGATTAATTGCACTGTTAAACAACAATAGAATACCATTTAATTTGTTGATATTTTCTACATTTTAAAATATATTGATTTCAATTACAACACAGAATACAAAGTCTACAGTAGCTCACTTTATATTTATTTTTGATTACAAGTATTCGCACTGTAAACAAAAATAGTATTTTTCAATTCACCTAATACAAGTACTGAAGTGCAAGCTCTTTATCATGAAAGTTGAACTTACAAATGTAGAATTATGTACAAAAAATCTGCATTCAAAAATAAAACAATGTAAAACTTTAGAGCCTACAAGTCCAATCAGTCCTACTTCTTGTTCAGCCAATCGCTAAGACAAACAAGTTTGTTTACATTTGCAGAAGATAATGCTGCCTGCTTCTTGTTTACAATATCACCTGAAAGTGAGAGCAGGCATTTGCATGAAGAGGCATATGAATCTTTAGCGCATCTGGCATGTAAATATCTTGTGATGCCAGCTACAACAGTGCCATGCGAATGCCTGTTCTCACTTTCAGGTGACATTGTAATTAAGAAGTGGGCAGCATTATCTCCCGTAAATGTAAACAAATATGTTTCTCTTAGCGATTGACTGAACAAGAAGTAGGACTGAGTGGACTTGGTAGGCTCTAAAGTTTTACATTGTTTTGTTTTTGAGTGCAGTTATGTAACAAAAACCCCTACATTTGTAAGTTGCATTTCCATGATAAAGAGATTGCACTACAGTACTTGTATGAGGTGAATTGAAAAATACTATTTCTTTATATAATTTTTATTACAAATATTTGCATTGTAAAAATTATAAAAGTGAGCACTTTGTATTCTGTGTTGTAATTGAAATTGATATATTTTAAAATGTAGAAAAACATCACAAATATTTAATACATTTCAATTGGTATTCTATATTTTAACAGTGCAATTAATCGCGATTAATTTTTTTGAGTTAATTGCGTGAGTTTACTGTGATTAATTGACAGCCCTACTTGTAATATCACTCAGGCCTAGTACTGGAGAATTGTGGTCTGCTACGCTGCTAAATAGAAAGGATTTCCAACAAAACTATTTCTAAATTAAGACTAAGACCAGGTCTACAAAGTTATACCGATATTCCTAAAGGGGTGATTTTATACCAATATAATTAAGTTGTTGCAACTTTGTGGGTGGACTCATATCACTATAAACCTGTCTTATATCAGTTTAACTTGGGCTGGTAAATTAATAGACCCAAACTAAATCAATACCATAAAGTCCAGACACAAAGTTGCACTGGTTTAACTAAACCAATTTAAATTAACTGGTGCAAGTTCTGTATGTAGACAAGTCCTAAGATTTGTCACCACCACCACAGACCTAAAAGTTCAGGTCATCTTAGGGAACAATTAGTGACATCACTAATAGGTACAACTAATGGATGAGAAGCATGAGCACACAAGGAAACTCAGGCTACATGCTTAGTGCCTCGTTACACTTTTTGCTGCATTATGTACTTTTTGCAAAAGTTATAACTTATTTGCATTGCCATAGTGCCTAGGAGACCTTTGTGTTAGGTACTGTACAAACACAGAATCCCTTCCTCCCTCCCCCCCCCCCCCGAGCTTTTCATTTAAAGACAATAACGCAGATCTTCCATTTAGGCACCTAAATACCTTTGAGGATCTGGAGCAATGTTTCCACCTTTTCCTGTTGCAAAGGTGGAGATCCCCTACCCTGAGGTGCTCCCTCGGTTTGTTATTGGATGTCTAGAGCAGCTTGCGGGAATGAGGCCAGAGTGGAACAGCTCAGCTCACCCTGTGAATACTGAGAGTAAGGACTATGGGATGGAGGAAGAGGAAGCAGCAGGAGGAGAACAACCACCAAGATACTCAACAACTCAGGATAATGAATGTTATAGTGCAGTGAGAGATGGTCTCTGTTTCCTGCAGCAGAAAGGGAGAGGGGCTCCCAGCGTAAAAGATGGTTACTTACTGGGATTGTAACTTGTTCTTTGAGAAATGGGTGCAGATGTATTTTCCATTCAGGTGACTCGCAAGCAGTTCTCCTAGGAGGTGGGGCTCACAATCTGCCTAAGCAGTGACTGCAGGATTGCCTTCCCAAAGTCTGCATCAGATCGAGATGCAGTAAAAGTATGTATAGATGACCAGGTAGCAGCCCTGCAAATGTCCAATATTGAAATATCACTGAGGAATCCTATTGCCCTTGCTAGGGCCCTCGTCAAATGAGCTCACAATCTCTGTGAGAGCATGGTCTGAGCTACTTCAGATGCTAGTGTAATGCAAGAATTTATCAATTTGGAAATGGTTTTCACAGAGACCACCTGACCCCCCTCCTTCGATCCACAGAGGAAATAAACAAATGAGGTGATGCTCGAAAAGGTTTAGTTCTGTCTAGGTAGAATGGCAAGCGTCACCTCATATCCAACATCTAAAGACACTGTTCATTTGTGTTGGAGTCCAGTTTAGGAAAGAACTCTGGAAAATAAATCATTTGGTTAAGGGGAAACTGAGAAACTACTTTTGATAAAAAAAATTGGCTGCTGCCCCAGGGCCACACTGTCCTTGAAAAACTGTGTATGGGGGCTGTGCCATTAAGGCCTGCAGTTTGCATAATGCCGTTACAGCCATAAGGAATCCTATCTTCTGGCACAGCTGGGCCTCGAAAGGAGGACCCATGAGGGGAGCCAGGACAGTATTAACGTCCCACAAGGGAACCCGCTCTTTCACAGGTGGGTAGAGACTAGGGTGACCAGACAGCAAATGTGAAAAATCAGGACAGGGGTGGGGGTAATAGGAGCCTATATAAGAAAAAGACCCAAAAATTGGGGCTGTCCCTATAAAATCGGGACATCTGGTCACCCTAGTAGAAACAAATGATCCCTTAGAAACCTAACCACCATGGGGTTCAAGAAAAGTGGCTGATCTCAAATAGGCAGATGAAATGGCAAGATTTGAAATGAACCCACAATGAACTGAGTGAGAGACCAGAAGACTCAAGGTGCAATAGGTATGCCAAAATGTCCTGAATACAGGCAAGCATCATCTGGCTTCCCCGAGCAAGCGACCAAGCTGAAAAACACTTCCACTTGGTTACCCTAGTAGAGGTTTTCCTGCTGTTAAGCCACAGCAATGCAACACATTCCAAACATCCTTTCTCCTCATCTAGCCATGCAGCATCCACTTCATGAAATGAAGAGGGTGACTGCTGGATGCAAAACTTGATCATAGTGCTGAGTCAGCAGATAGGGATGAAGAGGCAGTGATATGGGAGGTCAAACCGATAGACCAGTAGGTCGAAGAGCCAACATTGCCTGAGCCAAGCTATAGCAATGAGAATAAGTTTGGTATGATTCAAGTTTAGTGTGAGAATGACCTCTGGGATTAGAGAGAAGGCGTACCTCAAAGCAGACCCCTGCATTTGAGGTGGAAGGTGTCACGTAGGGAATCTGTACTGAGACCAACTTGAGAGCAAAATTGGTGTCACTCCTTGTTGTCTCTCATCGCAAACAGATTGATAGTTGGAATGCCCCATTCTGCAAAAATGGACTCAGCCCCCTCAACTTCAGAGACTACATGTGATTGTGGGAGAAACTCCTGCTGAGGTGATCAGCCAAGTGAGTCTGGACCTCAGGTAAGTGAGCTGCTGTGGGAACAATGCTCTCCATGATGCAGAACTGTCGTAACTTTATTGCTTCCTGACACAGCTGGTTGGAGGAGGTTCCTCCCTGCTTGTTCATATAGTATTGCGGTGGTAGCGTTAGTGAGTATATGAGCCAGTGTGCCCCATGTGTGATCCCGAAAAGCTTGACAGGCATTGTAAGTGGCCCAGAGCTCCAGGATGTTAATTTGGAGGGAAACTTTCTGTTTTGACCACAAGCCAAGAACTTTTAACACCGCTAGATGTGCTCCCCAACCTACTGAGGTGGCATTGGTGACTACAGTCCTGGCTGGGGGAGGACGCACAAAGGGACCACCCTGGCATATGTTGTTCTGAACTGTCCAGTACCATTAGGATCTTCAGAGGAACTCAGACAAACCTGTCCAAAGAATGACAAGTTAGGCGATAGACCAATTTCAACCACACCTGAAG